ACGTTTACAACCTAATAAAAAGATTTTTTAAATGGTCAAAAGGTCTGAAGACACTTCACATATGAATGACAGAAAGCACATGAAAAAAATGTTTAACAGGGCTTCCCTGGTGGCGCAGTGGTTGAGAGTCCACCTGCCGATGCAGGGGACGCGGGTTCGTGCGTCCGGTCCGGGAGGATCCCACATGCCGCGGAGCGGCTGGGCCCGTGAGCCATGGCCGCTGAGCCTGCGCGTCCGGAGCCTGTGCTCCGCAATGGGAGAGGCCACAACAGTGTGAGGCCCGCGTACCGCAAAAAAAAAAAAAAAAAAAAAAAAATGTTTAACATTATTAGTCATCGGGGAATACAAATTTAAACCACAATGAGATATCGCTATATATCCAATAGAATGGCTTAAAAAAATACTGACAATACTGAATACTGAAAAAGATTAGAGTAATTGGAATTCACACACATTGTTGGTAGGAATGTAAAATGGTCCAAAAGTTTGGCAGTTTCTCATCAAATTAAATGTATACATACCCCTTGAATTGATCCAACAATTCCATTCCTGGAAATGATAATATCTGTCTACATAAAGACTTGTAAATGAACATTCATAGCAACTTTATTCCTAATAGCTAAACACTGGAAACAACCTGAATTCCCATCAACAGGTAAACCAATAGACAAATTGTGTTGTCGATATAATGGCATATTACTCAGCAATAAAAATGAATTAATTACTGATATAAACAACAACATTGGTGAATCTCAAAAAAACATTAAACTACATGAAAAAAAGCCAGGTGCAAAAGAGTGCCTACTGTATGATTCCATTTATATGAAATCTAAGAAAGACATAACTAATAAAAGATGAAAAACAGATCCATTGTTGCTTAGGCTGGATGGGGGCTGTGAATATTGACTGCCAAGGGGCATAATGGCATTCTTGGCGGTGGTGGAGGGCAGGGGTTGCAGTTGTGGTAGTGATTGTGGTAGTGGTTACTTGGGCATATGCATTTGTCAAAACTTACCAAACTGTACACTTAAAATCCATGCTTTCATTATATGTGAATTATATCTCAATTACTTCTTTGATTTTTAAAAAACAAAATATATCTATATATACTTATTTTAAATGTCTAGAAAGATACACTCAAAATTATAAAACAGTAGTATTTCAAAGGTGATATACAAAATATTTAACAATTGGGAATTACAAGCACCAACCAGTCAGAACAGATGGTGGGTATGAACAATTGGTACAGCGGATGAGACGTGCATTAGCCCAGGAGAACAATAGTTATCAATAGATGGTGGGATTATTGATGTCCTCTTTCTTTTTGCTTATTGGTATTTTCTAATTTTCTATCTGTAGTTCAATCAGGTACTTTAAAATAGGGAAAAAATCTATTTTTAATTATAAAAAAGAAAAATCGTACCCTGTTGACATCACATTTCATACTGTTATAAAATTCTAATGGATCTCAAAACCCTAATGGAACTTTTAAATAATAGGTATGAGAAATGGTATACTAAAACAGCATTGAATTAGAAGTTAAAAATGGATAATGCCATAAAAATACTTCCTATCTACTACAAAGAAAATACTGATATATATATATATATATATATATATTTTTTTTTTTTTTTTTTTTTTGGTACGCGGGCCTCTCACTGTTGTGGCCTCTCCCGTTGCGGAGCACAGGCTCCGGATGCGCAGGCTCAGTGGCCATGGCTCACGGGCCCAGCCGCTCCGCGGCATGTGGGATCTTCCCGGACCGGGACACAAACCCGTGCCCCTGCATCGGTAGGCAGACTCTCAACCACTGCGCCACCAGGGAAGCCCATGAGATATATTTTTTAACTATTTTACTATTTTAAAATGCCCTCCCTTTGCTTCTATTACAACTAGGTCTCCATACAACTGATTATGTTTAAGACAGAGAATATCTTTCCTCAAATTGTCTGGGCTCTGAAATGCCATTCTGCTCTAAAGTCATGATACACTATTTTCTGATGGGTATCTTGGCCTAGGTCAAACTTCAGAATCTGGTTGAGCAAGCCGGGAAATCAAACAATAATTATCAACCCTGGATAAATTTTTATAGCAAAATTACAGCCCATGACAAGGAGAGTTGCTGCCATCTCCTCCTAGCATGACAACCTCCATCCCTACATCTTATCACAGCAACAAACCTTTGCTCTGAGCAACTTCTTCAGAGGTAAGCACAATAAAAACCTGGCCTAAGAGCAGTCGCTGAGAAGCTATGATCAGCAAATAATGACCAGGGAGTCCCCTTTATCATGTGTCTCTCTATCAACAGAGAAACCATACCAGCTCCCCATCAGCCCAGTTGAGAGTCAATGGCTGGTTTAGCAACAGGACTCCTTTCTGAAACGCTCAAAACCCTGGGGTAAAATGATGCTACTGTATAATCTCCTAATGTTGCTTTACAATGCAGCTCAAATATGTGATTTTAAAAGCACCTTAAACCCACCGTGAGTTCACAGTTACCTTTAATGATCTGCAAATCTCAGTGTTTTTAATAGCTCATTTTTGTACTGTGGCTACAGTGGCAACACCTGCACCTAAATAGTTATTGCTTTTAATACCCTGGGCTGTCAGGATGTGCAGTAAATGAGAGGCAGCAGCAGTATCTTCCACCTTTTCTAAGCCTTAATCTACTCTTCCTCCGTTTGAACATAAGTGTATTGAGTTGATAGAGCTGCTGCGTCAGCTCCCAGAGCCTGTGCGATCTCGGCTCATGGGACCAAGATCAGAGGTCATCAGCAGAGGCTGACCACCCTTCTCCATGACATGGAGAGAAACAAGAAGAAAATGGTAGCTAGAGGCCACCAGGGTCTTTCCCTCTGGAAGCTCCAACTCCTGAAAGTGAAGGATCTGTCCCCAGATCACAGTTATAAGAAAAATATACAGAAGTTTTCATGAGGTCTCCAATATGGCATTTCTGTAAGATACTAAACTATAAATTGCATTAGCAAATCTAGCTTCATCCAGACATTTTAATGTCACTCACCCACTAAACAAGGATAAGAATCATCTTTACAGTTGATATAATAAAGTATTATATAACAACTTTGATTCTCAAATTTCAAAACATAAGGTATCTCTTATGTAATAATAATAGCAGGTATTTATTGAGCAATTACTATGGGCCTGACATTGTTCTAAGCTTACATACATTAACTCATTTAATCCTCAAAACAACTCAATTGTTATGACGAGCCAGGATTTGAACCTGGCATCTGTCTCCAGAGTCTTTGCCATACTGCAATAGATCAAGAATCACAGACCCCATTTCTCTAGAGAAGTGAACCTCTTACAAAGCCACCCAAGGGCTCAGAAGGAAGTTAGCTATGACTATACTTCAAAATGTTCCTGAATGGATGGGAAACCCTCCAGTGCTGCACATGTCATAACTGTCTTGCCTCACCTTACCTGTAAAAGTCTTCTGTCTAAACAGAATGTGGTTGGCTCTGAGGGAATACAGCATCAGTGATTTTCAAAACTGGAAATGGCCCCATTGTGATTCTTCAGGTTTAAGGTTTTCTAAGCAAATTCTCTTGTGCATATAACCATTCTCATGCTCCCGCATGGTACACAAATTGCTGATGGTCACACCTCACCACAGGGTCACCAGCTACACTGGAGGTTGATTTCCATCTGCAGCTCTCAACTGTGATCATGTGAGAGAAGCAACAGAGGATGACACTGCCTGACTCAGTTCCCCCAGCCCTTAACCACTTCTGCTTCCAACAGTCAGCAACCGCTGTCTCTTTGAGAGCTGGTTTGCCTACAGGGAAGACCAGAAAGACCCTTCCAGAGCAGTCCTTGGCCAGTGACTGGAAGCATGGGGGATATAAATATCCCAGTTCCCTCACCCTGATGGGGACAACTCTGAGATGTGATTACATTGTCTCCAGAGCTCCCTGAAAGGTCCAGCCAAAGTCTCCCACCATGGAACTTGACATTGAGCCTTAGGTTGGTCTCCTTCCCTTCCCTGTCCTACTTTCCCAACTCTTAGGATGTTTCCTGGGATCATTTCAGAATCAATCACTTTCATGGCCATCATTGCATTGGGTCTGCTTCTGGCGGTGAACTGAGAGGGACAGCGGAATATGATTTTAGATCCCTCTAAACTCCCACCTCTCTGGATAATCTAAACAAACATCTTGGGGCCATTAAGTCTCCTGCTCTTCTCAATGGGAACCTCAGTTCTGCAGCACAAATGGAATGATCTACTTATACTGGCCTTACTTATCCATAAGCTACTTACTCCTCAATTATTTTTAAAAAATTACAGAGGTCAAGTTATTGGGAGGGAGATGGCCAGAGTGTCCCACATAATATTACTGACTGAACACTTTAAACAAGGGAACTTTGAACTGATGCCCACATAACTGTGGCTTCAATACAAAGAAAATACAATGGATTCAGTGGCTCAAAATGCTGGCCTGCAGCCTGGAAGGCAAACAGATCTCTGTCCCATGTAACTCTTTTCTCCAAGTGTGAGGTCTAGAAAGGATAGACCTTCAATGGATACCAGCCCAAACCCCTCATTTTACAGTCCTGGTTCCTCTGAATCACATCCTTGGGTTAAACATTTCTCACAGTAGTTTTAAACTTTAATTATGTACTCTACCAAAGCAAAGATCAAAATCTCTACAAAAGTTCTTTTTATTTTTTATGATGAAGCATTTATTAGTATGTCTCTTTGGAATAGATTTTCATACCCCAGGCCTGAAAAGAACTTCCACATAGAAATCACTCTCAGAACACTTTTTAAATACTCGAGAGTGTGTCCTTCTTTCTCATCTCATCAATGACTTGTTAATGAGGAATAATTATAATAGATTCTTATTAATAAGAATGCATTGCATTTCAAAAAATTTTTTTAAAAATATAAAACCTATGCACCGATGTCTATAATAGACATTAGGATCCAAACTTTCATCCATACAGAGTATCTAGATGTGGTGCATTTCAAAATAAATCAATGTGGTAGTAACAAAAGATCTGCTTCATGGAATGGGTTGGCCTAATTGAACAGATATAATTACACTCTGTTAATATCCATGTGGACTATGTAGAATGTCATCACTCTTATATGTACATGACTATAATAGTTCTGCATTTCTTTCCATCCTGGAATCTGAGGACTGATTTCCCTAAATGTCTGTGATCCAAGGGATTTCAAAGAGATTCCTCCAAAATGTTCCAGAGTGAATTTCGTGAGCTGTTCAACTGGACCCAGCCAGCAGCTCGGAGTTAGGACTTCATCTTGGATGACTTGCTGAGGGGAAATCCACCCCCCGTAAAACGAGGGCCAGTTAGTTTGGCCATTGAGAAGGCATTCTCCATGCCTATTCTGTCCTTGTTCCTATAAGAGAGGAGGTGAAAGTTAACTTCCTTACCATCTTTTTCCTCTTCTATGATAGTTCTTAGGGTGAACTAGCCACTGAAAACTGCTTTGATCAAAGCTTCCAGTTTGAGACAAGGTGGTGGTTTAAATCTAATTAGGTGTTACTGATAACACATAGAATTAGGGAAAGACACAATTAAATGTGCTTTCCTAATGTTGCTCTAAATACGGACAGAAGGCCTCATAATAGCTCAGACCCTGTGGACTGGAGGCTCCTGACTTGTAATCATCTTCCTATTTTATAAAGCATTTGTTTAGTTCCAAAGATCAGTCAGAAGAATCTTTCTCTTGGCTCAATTATAATGACTAATTCATCATTTATCAACTTTTATAATCCAAAGTTTCAGTGGAAACATAAATATTTATCACACACACAAGGTATCTTCATCAAACTTGGACATTTATAAAATACAAATTTTCCTATAACTTTAGATGAGCAGCAGTTATTATTAGAAATAGTTTAAGATACGAGAAAAGCTGGGAAAGATAAATAAGATGGTACATTTGGCAATAGATAAAGGAAGTTCTAATCTAAAATCTACAATGTATCTTCTATGCAGATCTTCTTTAAATACACACACACACACACACACACACACACACACACATTCAGGTTTCCTGCAGAGGTATCTTAAATTTATAAAAATTACCTATTGAATAATTAGGGTCTTATGGAAAACATCTTTGGAGTCCCTTTTTAAAAATAAAAACTGAGCAAACTACTAAGACTAAAACCAATTAGATTTGGCTAATAGAAGTGATTTACTTCAGGGAAGAGAATTCTACCTTTTGCAAAAGAATCTGAATTGTACTGCAGACTCTAGACCAGCCTGGAGGTCCAGAGTAGGGGAGTCAAGGGCAGGTGGGTAGGGGTGCAGGTCAGGACTGGAGCATGATAAAAACAGGGTTTGAGAAAAGTGAAAAAAAAAAAGGCAAAAAGGTAAAAATGATATGAGTTGCTATTTTATAAAGAGTATGTGTGAGAATAGCCACAGAGATTATTCTAAATTATTCCATTTGAAAAGAACCTGCAGAAAGTTTGCTAATCAATCCAGCTGTCCCTTAGCAGAACTGATTTCATTATTATAAAAGCCGTCCTCCATAAACAGGACAAAAGCTTTAGCCTTGAGTGGGTCCAGCAAAGAAGATTCCTTCAAGTACCCTGACAATTTGTCTACCTCCTGACTGTTGCTAGCTGCAGGCAGTGCCCCCCTCTCCCTGCCCTCTCTCGCCTTAAATAACCTAAAATTTCCTCTCTGAAGGAACTTAAGCTTAATGCTTCTGGCCTGATCTAAGTTGACTAATGGGAATAATGTCTCCTTTATATGATCTTTTTAATGCATTTATAGACCATCTTAATGACTCCCTTCAGCCTTCTTCCTTCCAGTCTAAACCATCTCAGCACTTTTGTTCTTGCCTGGGCATATTTTCCTTCAGCTCCTTAATCTTTTTTTCTTCTTTTCCCTGTTCTCCCATGAACTCATAACTCTCTGTCTCCCTCCAGTTTATGGATCCCAACTAAATGGAACGACCAAATGATGCCCTAGCCAGGTCAGACTGGCCACAAGGAATGAGGATTCAAGGCAAAGGCAGAGTCTAGAGCAGTGCTATCTGATAGAACTTTCCATGATGGTGGAAAAGCTCTGTATCTGAGCTGCCCAATGCGGCATCCACTAGCCACACATGGCTACTAAGTAGGTGAAATGTGACTAGTGCAATTAAGGAACTAAATTTCTAATTTGATTGAATTGCAATTCACTTTAATTTAAATAGCCACAAGTGGCATACTGCCCGGGGGCAGTGCAATTCTAGTGGATGGGCCATTGGGAGGGAATGAGCTATCAGAGGGGTGTCCCTCTGTCAGCATGCTCCCTGTGTCCAAAAAACTGTGTGTGCCTGGCCGGGGGATCAATAAGGTCAATGGAAACTAGGCCAAATCCCAGGGCCAAGGCAGGTGAGTTAATTAGCTCTAGGAAGGCAATTAACTGTTTAGCCAAGCCAGCTGTTTATAACTGTTTCAACTGGACCACTGGTCTCCAAAATGGAGTGTGTGAACTCTACAAGATGAGTGGGATGACCTGTTGGCAAGTGGCAAGAAGATATTAGAGATTCAATATTTTATCTTTGAAAATTAAAAACCTTTCTTTACTAATAATTACTCACAAAGTGACAATAGTATTTGTGTGTACTTTATAAATTAAAATATATTGGAGGTAAAAAACTATTCCAAAATAGTTTTTTAATTTTAAAAACGATATGCGTATATATTAGGGGGGCTGCAAGTTCAAAATTGTTTTACTGATAAGAGTGCACACTCAGAAAGTCTGAAGGCCACAGAGCTAGACAACTGCCTCACGTGGAAACTAGACATGACATTTGATAAGCACAACTTTGGTGCCCTAAAAGAAAACTAGTGTTTCTACTCCAACATTCATTCAATTCACATCATTAACATCGGTGGTTCTCAAACATCAGTGTGCATGGAATTCACCTAGAGAGCAATTAAACTGCAGATTTTTGAGGCCCATCCAGAACCTGCTGAATCCAAATATCTGGAAATGGGGCCTAGGAACCTGCATGTTTAATAAATCTCACCAGTGATTCTGCATCAGACAGTTGCTAGACCCACACATTGAGCCAGACCCATCTAGATTAGCTATAGTTTTTAGCAATATTTTAGTCTACCAAGGAACTGGCATCTAAATGTGGAATGGGGGAATATTCTGATATACAAAAAGGATAGATTTTTACTGGCAAATGAATTCGCATCCAGCTACTTTAAGTAGCTGTTTGCCACTAATGGATTATTGATGCATGCGTTCAAACCCTGTTTCACCATGTCCTTGAAACGCCCATGTGGATGAAATACCAAGCCTGACTTTCAACTCACAATGTGAGCCTCTACAGAATGAACAAGATGATTTGGGCAATGCACACAGCCAAGGTTCAAACCTGCTGATTCATCTGGGCCCACTCACTCACCCCAGGATTAGGCAAACAATAACAAAGTGAAGAGAACATTTACTCTTCAACATGTACGCATCCTGAAACCCAAAATATTCACCTGATATCTGCATTATCATCTCCTAGAAGAATGCTCATGCTGATACCCTACAGCAGATACTGAAGTCAGGTACTAGACACAGAAATGATTCAGAGACAGTTTATCTAAAACATAGGTGAAAATTACTTGTGAACTGCTCATAATTACAGTGGTTTTAAGTGTGAATATGCTTCAGCCCATACAAGGCTAATCGTGAACCTCCTCTGCAGACATAGTTATGGAATGATTATCTCCAAACCGTGAGAACCGTGTGGGGGAAAAAATCACACTAGGTTTCCTCTGCTCCACACAAGGTCCACCAGTGAGCTGATATTAATGAATCCCTGTTAGGGTCCTAAGGAGGGGTCTCAGTTTCAAAGGAGACACCCGTCTTGCTCTAACACCAGCCCACTGAGGGACCTGTAGAAAGTAATTTGCTCACCCCTGACTTAGTTTACCCCAGTGAAGTCTGTGACTCCGTGACTGTCTTCAATTATTTTCTTATCAGCAGTTAATAGGCACAACAGAACTAGAACATTTGACTAATTCTTACTTCTGAATGTATTCTTTACGTTTCTGAGCAAGGTATTTCTTCTTTAAGTTCAGCAGTTCATTGCTAAGTTTCTCGATCTCATACTTATATTCTTGGCTCTGCGATTCATACATATTCAGTTCTGAAGACAAAACCTAGCGTGACAGATAAAGCAGCATTAACAGAAGATGCGCAGTGAGACAATATCCTTTTCTGAAAAATCTTTTTAATCCGCGGCCACTTACCTCAGTGAGGCTAGAGATACAAAACCATGCCCAGGTTTAACAGTTAATCCGCACACTTCTACCAGTTCAAGGTCTGTATCTGGGTAAAAATATGATGGAGGTCTGAAGACTCATAATCCAGTGGCAAACAATGGAACCTCATTCCCCTGCTTTAAAGGAGAACTATCAGGCACAAGCAAACAGGCTCACATATGAATGGTGTAATGTGGTTCAAGAATACTGTGAGTGGAAACAGAAAAATCCCAGACATACAGCATAAAATTGCTTTTAAAGCCTTTTTTTAATAAAGCATTCAGAAAAGTCATTGCAAGGGAGCATGATTCATCTGAGGATTATTGTAAAAATTACTCAGAATCATCCTGCCCCCACCACCACTCAGTAGGTATTCAATTTATATGTTTTCCAAGGCTGTTGTTCTGCTGAATGTCAATCACCTCTTTACTGTGCCCTTTGGGACTATTCACAGGTTCTCTCTTTATCCCAGCACTGGGACTTACCTCTAAGAAGCAGGGGGCTATGATATCTGCAGGGAGAGTGTACTGCATGCGAGGGGCTCTAACAGGAAGCCTAATTACCTGCCTCTTGCACTGTGTGTTCAGCAGATGCTACTGGTTTCAGGCTGGACAGGGAAAGAGGGAATTTACTCACCTAAACGGATGTGTAGAGCACACTAAAATGAGGGGTACCCCAACAAAAACCAAGGGGAAAAAAGGGAGGCTACTGTCCTAAGGGGCATGCAATAGATTTGATTTGGTTTTCGTCTAGTTCTGCATTTTTAAAAAATTTGCATAAAAGGCAGATGTTTATCTTTCGAGTGTTCGTCTGCTTCTGAACTATTTCCTCTTAACTGCTGTGAAAAGGATTCTGACGATGTTATCATGAGCTAAAGAATATGCTTTTCATGTTGGAAGAAAAACTGTCTTCAGCCATAAAAAGAAATAAAATTGAGTTATTTGTAGTGAGGTGGATGGACCTAGAGTCTGTCATACAGAGTGAAGTAAGTCAGAAAGAGAAAAACAAATACCGTATGCTAACACATATATATGGAATCTAAAAAAAAAAAAAGGTTCTCATGAACCTAGGGGCAGGACAGGAATAAAGATGCAGACGTAGAGAATGGACTTGAGGACACGGGAGGGGGAAGGTTAAGTTGGAATGAAGCGAGAGAGTAGCACTGACATATACAAACTACCAAACGTAAAATAGATAGCTAGTGGGAAGCAACCGCATAGCACAGGGAGATCAGCTGGGTGCTTTGTGACCACCTAGAGGGGTGGGATAGGGAGGGTGGGAGGGAGACGCAAGAGGGAGGAGATATGGGGATATATGTATATGTATAGCTGATTCACTTTGTTATACAGCAGAAATTAACACACCATTGTAAAGCAATTTTACTCCAATAAAGATGTTAAAAAAAAAATAGTTAAACTCTTAGGAGCAAAGACCTTGTTTCCAAACAATGAATGTGGAATTTCCTAAAAGAGCCCAGATAATGAGGACAAACTGGCGGACAGGCTTGGTATTATCCACCCCTGAATCTTCCACCAGGGGTCACATGTCATTCAGAGCAAAAATCTGGATATCCTCAGATAAAGGCTTAAAGTAACAAAAGTCTGCTATGAACCACTGAATACAATCCAGCGCTAAGTATGCCTATCTGAGAGTAGTGTAAAGACATGGGCTTTTCTAATTTACACCCACCCCTGAGAAAATAAGTTTTTATTTTATTTGATATATTCAATTGTTTAAAGGGATGAAAATAATCAAAAGATTATGCCTCCTACAAATCTCAAATTATGTCTCAGGATACTCATGTAAAATGAATGCTTAACAGTGATAAGTTGAAAATTAATGCTGTCATTACGTTTCTGTTTCATCTGCCCTTTTTAAGTAAAAGGATGCGATTTTACAACATTGTATTTGTGAAAGGATTAGCAGCGTGGCGTCTATTTTACCCCAGGCAGAAAGGCAATGATTATTACCATCACTGCACAGAAAAGTGCCAGAATTCGGCTGCCATGCGCTACATTCTGTGCATGTGTGTGTATAAGGCTTCCCTAACGTGCCAAGAATATCTAAGTACTTTTTAGGAGGTAAAGCTGAGGATATAGTGGGAACATGCAGTTTTTGAGAAAACTTTAAAAAGGCGCATATAATACTAAAACATTCCATCTCCCCAGCTAATGTTCTTATGTCACTTAGAAGGGAACTTACACTAACAGAATCCTAAAATGATTTTACTTCCCTTTCATGGCTTCTTATTTCATAGATGGTCATGAAGCAAGGTTCCTGGGGACTGGGGAGTAGCCTGTGTTTTGTGTACATGTATTTCAGGCGGAATGAATAGTAAAAACCTGCTTTGACACAATGATCTGCTTCAGTGGGCAGTGGTGTTAAAATATTCCCTCTGTTCTTTCCCACCATCCGAATCCTCTAAATCATCTTGAGATAATCTATACAAACCTTGTCCCCCAAATTTCTATCCCATTGCCATCATCCTCTCCCCAGCTCTTTGTCCACTTGTTCATCTCCCTGTTTTGTGGGAGTCTATTAGCTTAGGAGCAGAGGGGTAGCTTTAAGGCTTGCCCTGTGCCTCCCAGGACTGGAACACTAAAAAAGCTGATACCAAAGGAGGACAGCATTTGGGAGACTGGCTCCTTGTACTGAGGCAGTAGACTTGTCCACGGGTATTCCCCAGAGTGTGTCTGTCCTTCAGCCAGGAAGGAGCAGAGGCTACCACTTACTTTAAGCTGCTTGGTCTTCTCCCGCAGCGTGTGGCGGTAGATCTGTAGCTGCTCTGCAGCCTCAGGCCCAGGCTGCCGGGCCAGGATGTGCTTTAGTTCCACATACAGTTTCTCCTTTTCCTGGTGGAGAGTATAACCACAAATGGAGATAAATAACCACATCAAGACAAGGGTAGCGCCTTTAACAGCATGGTCAGGATGATTTGGGATCATCCTAAGGTCCTTCCCAGCTCCACACTGATTACATTCACACGTAGATTCATTCAATCAAGCATCAAGCCACATAGGGACCCGGCACTGCCCACCAGCAGGCCGGCAGCAGCCTTGCAACCCCCAGGTTGTGTGGCAAACCACGTGGGAAGCCTACCCTGCCCTCCAGGGGACTTGCAACAACTGCATGAGGAATGGCCTCCCAGCCAGCCTGGCCAGGGGCCAGCTCCACCTACCGACATGCCCACAGTAGTCAGCCCTGCCACAACAGAAGGACACATGCAGTCCACAAAGGGGGTACCACTAGAGCATACAGCTCTGGTGACCAGAAGGGAGTGTGTTGCTGGGCCCTAAAGGATATCTCCTACATAAGGCAACTTCCCCAAGATTGGAAAATGTAATTGATGTACCTAACACATAGAAATGAACACAGAGAATTGGGCAAAATGAGGAGACAGAGTAATATATTACAAATGAAGGAACAAGACATAACCTCAGAAAAAGAACTAAAAGAAGTGGAGATAAGCAATCTATCCAACAAAGGGCTCAAGGTAATAATCATAAAGATGCTCACTGAACTTGGGAGAAGAATGTATGAACACAGTAAGAATTTCAACGAAGAGTTAGAGAATATAAAGAAGAACCAAACACAGCTAAAGAATACAATAACTGAAATTAACAATACACTAGAAGGAATCAACAGTAGATTAGATGGTACAGAGGAACTATAAACCAGAAGATAGAGTAGTGGAAATTACAAAGCTGAACAGAAAAAAGAATTAAAAAAAAATAAGGATAGTTTAAGAGACCTCTGGTATAACATCAAGTGTACTAACATTTGCATTATAGGGATCCCAGAAGGAGAAGAGAGAGAGAAAGGGGCACAGAAAATATCTGAAGAAATAATAGCTGAAAACTTCCCTAACCTTGGAAAGATAAGACATCCAGGTCCAGGAAGCACAGAGAGTAGTCTCAAACAGAATCAACCCAAAGAAGACCACACCAAGACACACTGTAATTAAAATGGCAAGAATTAAAGATAAAGAGAGAATATTAAAAAAGCAAGAGAAAAACAACTAGTTACATACATGGTAATTCCCATAAGACTATCAGCTGGCTTTTCAGAAGAAACTGTGCAGGCCAGAAGGGAGTGACACAATATATTCAAAGCGATGAAAGGAAAAAACTTACAGCCCCAAATTCTCTACCCCGCAAGGTTATCATTTAGATTTGAAGGAGAGATAAAGAGTTTTACAGATAAGCAAAAGCTAAAAGAGTTTAGCACCATTAAACGGGCTTTAAAAGAAATGTTAAAGGAATTTTTCTAGGTGAAAAAGAAAAGGATACAACTAGAAATATGAAAATTATGAAAGGAAAGATCTCACCGGTAAAGCTAAACATACAGTGAAGGTAGTAAGTCAACAATGTATAAAGCTAGAGGAAGGCTGTAAGCTAAAAGTAGTAAAATCATCTATATCACAATATGTAGTTAAGAGACACACAAAACAAAATGATGTAAAATATGACATCAAAAACATTAACCGTGGTAGGTGGGGAATGAAAATGTAGGCTGATTAGAATGCATTCAAACTTAAGAGATCAGCAACTTAAAATAATCACATATATATATCACATATATATATAAATATATAATAATAGATACACACAAAAAGCAAAAGGCATTCAACCGTAACACTACAGACAGTCATCAAATCACACCGGAAGAGAGCAAAAGAAAAAGAAAGGAACAAAAAACTTTGAAAAAGAAATTAACAAAATATCAATAATTAAATGTAAATGGACTAACTGCTCCAATCAAAAGACATAGAGTAGCTGAATGAATACAAAAACAAAACCCAAATGTACGCTGCCTACAAGAGACTCACTTCAGATCGAAAGACACACACAGACTGAAAGTTAGGGGATAGAAAAGAAATAATAAAGATCAGAGAAGAAATAAATGAAATAGAGAAATAATAAAGAATCAGAGCAAGGACACCCATCTGCTGGTTCACCTGTTGGTTGCCCCAGAGGGTATCCATGGGCAGTGTAATGGGAGTGTTGTCCAGCCATCATATGATGCTGTCAGATATGCCAGACAGATGTTGCTCAACATCACAAGGCAGGCAGATGATAACCTCGCAGAAGGGTCCACAGCGATAAGTTGCCATGGCAGTGCACTATGGTCAGCTTTTCCTGCTTATATTCTCTCACCCTGAAGTTTCCCTGTTATCTGGTTCTTTCATTCATGGTCACGTGGGGGGGGGGGCGTGGCAAGTGGTGTAACTGGAAGTGGAGATTGCATCAGCCAGAAATGCAGGAAGTGCATCACTGGAAGTGGAAACGTCATCAAAGCATAACAGGGCGGGGCTAGGGTTGGGGTTAACCTCACCAAAGGGAGTGAGCAGGGCCACCTTTGAAGAGAGAGAGAGAGGACCCAAATAAACAAAAAATCAGAAATGAAAGAAAAGTTACAACCAACACCACCAAAATACAAAGGATCATAAGAGATTACTACGAGCAATTAGACGCCAGTAAAATGGACAACCTAGAAGAAATGGATAAATTCCTAGAAACATACAATCTCCAAAACTGAATCATGACAGAAGAAATAGAAAATATGAACAGACCAATTAATGAAATTTAATCGGTAATAAAAAATATCTAACAAAGTCCAAGATCAGATGGCTTCACAGGTGAATTCTACCAAACATTTAAAGAAAAGTTGATACTTATTACTATCAAGCTGCTCCCAAAATCTGTGGAAGAAGGAACTTTTTTTTTTAATTTTTAAATTTTATTTATGTTTTTATACAGCAGGTTCTTATTAGTCATCAATTTTATACACATCAGTGTATACATGTCAATCCCAATCACCCAACTCAGCACACCACCATCCCCACCCCCCCTGTGGCTTTCCCCCCTTGGTGTCCATACGTTTGTTCTCTACATCTGTGTCTCAACTTCTGCCCTGCAAACCGGTTCATCTGTACCGTTTTTCTAGGTTCCACATATACGTGTTAATATACGATATTTGTTTTTCTCCTTCTGACTTACTTCACTCTGTATGACAGTCTCTAGATCCATCCATGTCTCTACAAATGACCCAATTTTGTTCCTTTTAATGGCTGAGTAATATTCCATTGTATATATGAACTATATTTTCTTTATCCATTCATCTGTCAATGGGCATTTAGGTGGCTTCTATGGCCTGGCTATTGTAAATAGTGCTGCAATGAAAATTGGGGTGCATGTGTCGTTTTGAATTATGGTCTTCTCTGGGTATATGCCCAGTAGTGGGATTGCTGGATAATATGGTAATTCTATTTTTAGTTTTCTAAGGAACCTCCATACTGTTCTCCATAGTGGCTGTATCAATTTACATTCCCACCAACAGTGCAAGAGGATTCCCTTTTCTCCACACCCTCTCCAGCATTTGTTGTTTGTACATTTTCTGATGATGCCCATTTTAACTGGTATGAGGTGATACATCATTGTAGTTTTGATTTGCATTTCTCTAATAATTAGTGATGTTGAGCAGCTTTTCACGTGCTCCTCGGCCATCTGTATGTCTTCTTTGGAGAAATGTCTATTTAGGTCTTCTGCCCATTTTTGGATTGGGTTGTTTGTTTCTTTAATATTGAGCTGCATGAGCTGTTTATATATTTTGGAGGTTAATACTTTGTCCATTGATTTGTTTGCAAATATTTTCTCCCATTCTGAGGGTTATCTTTTCGTCTTGTTTATAGCTTCCTTTGCTGTGCAAAAGCTTTTAAGTTTCATTAGGTCCCATTTGTTTATTTTTGTTTTTATTTCCATTACTCCAGGAGGTGGATCAAAAAAGATCTTGCTGTAATTTATGTCAAACAGTGTTCTTCCTATGCTTTCCTCAAAGAGTTTTATAAACTCTGGTCTTACATTTAGGTCTCTAATCCATTTTGAGTTTATTTTTGTGTATGGTGTTAGGGAGTGTTCTAATTTCATTCTTTTACATGCAACTGTCCAGTTTTCCCACCACCACTTATTGAAGAGACTGTCTTTGCTCCATTGCATACCCTTGCCTCCTTTGTCATAGATTAGTTGATCATAGGTGTGTGGGTTTATCTCTAGGCTTTCTATCTTGCTCCATGGATCTATGATTCTGTTTTTGGGCCAGTACCATATTGTCTTGATTAGTGTAGCACTGTAGTATAGTCTGAAGTCATGGAGTCTGATTCCTCCAGCTCCTTTTTTTTCCCTCAAGACTGCTTTGGCTATTCGGGGTCTTTTGTGTCTCCATACAAATTTTAAGATTTTTTGTTCTAGTTCCGTAAAAAATGCCATTGGTAATTTGATAGGGATTGCATTGAATCTGTAGATTGCTTTGGGTGGTATACTCATTTTCACAATATTGAATTTTCCAATCCAAGAACATGGTATATCTCTCCATCCGTTTGTATCATCTTTAATTTCTTTCATCAGTGTCTTATAGTTTTCTGTATACAGGTCTTTTGGCTCCTTAGGTAGGTTTATTTCTAGGTATTTTATTCTTTTTGTTGCAATGGTAAATGGGAGTGTTTGCTTAATTTCTCTTTCAGATTTTTCATCATTAGTGTATAGGAATGCAAGAGATTTCTGTGCATTAATTTTGTATCCTGCAACTTTACCAAATTCATTGATTAGCTCTAGTAGTTTTCTGGTGGCATTTTTAGGATTCTCTATGTATAGTATCATGTCATCTGCAAACAGTGACTGCTTTACTTCTTCTTTTCCAATTTGTATTCCTTCTATTTCTTTTTCTTCTCTGATTGCCGTGGCTAGGACTTCCAAAACTATGTTGAATAATAGTGGTGAGAGTGGACATCCTTGTCTTTCCTGATCTTAGAGGAAATGCTTTCAGTTTTTCACCATTGAGAATGATGTTTGCTGTG